TTGCATAGAGTGTTGTGTGATGAGCCAATTTGAAACACAAAGGTGAACTCATGGTGGGACTCAGCCATGTTGCATAACTGGCCATCTGCACTGGATCACTGGTTGAAGAAGAAGAGGTCACTGGTTACCATACTCAGATGTGTGTATTTCTGTGGTAATGGCAGGTGTATGTGTTATTAGGTAGCAAAAGAGTGTGGTGGTGATGATATGCAATTAACAAAGAATTTATGGGATTGGACAGGAACATGGCCCAAAAGGAGAAGAGAGATAGTATTGCCAGAATACAGGAAAAATGTGAAATGCTGTGTAGGGTGGTGAACAAACAATATAATATATAGATGATGTATTATAGAAGTGTATATCTGAAACCCACATAACTTTATTAACCAATGTCACCACAACCAATTCAATAAAAAATACATAAATAAAGGGAAAAAAAACACTCACAAAACTCCAGACAAACCAACCAAACCCAAAAATGTCCACTATAGAGATTACTCAAATGCTTTTTATTATATCTAAATCTCTTAATCAGCTTTATTTGAAGGCCAGCACAGCTAATTCCATGGCTACTGTTGAATTTTGCACTTGAATACTTTGCAATAGGAACATTATAGTACTGCTTTACTTCACATGGTTTATTTTAGGTCAGTAGTTTACTTGTTTCTTTAAATGTTACCACTATGCTTCTGTGAGCCTGACAAACCCTTTTGATTTTTGAGTACAGATGTTAAGAATATTAATCTTGTTATTAGATAAGCTATTTTATTTATATAATGAAAATGAGAGCTGTTACTATTACAATATCATTTTAAAACACATTTCTACAAGGCACAATTATTAAAATATTTTCTAATTATAAATACCCTTTATGACATAAAGGATAATTTGAAAAGTACAGAAAAGCATTAAGAAAAAAAGTATTTCCCCTACTCTTTAATCGCATCTCTCTTCAGTTCTATGTTATACATTTAGATACATTGACCATGTTAAGTTAATGATTGTGTAAAGTGTGAGGTTGAGGTCAAGGCACTTTGTTTTATTTATTTTCTTCAAACAAATGTCCAAGTATTGAACATGATTTGTCTTTGAGTGTATAACTTTATGTATTTTTTAAAGTGGTGACTGTAGGGATTACAATTTACATAGTGCTTAACTTCTCTCAGTCTACATAGAATTGATATTTTACCATTTCCATTGGAATGTAGAAACCTTATTTCCATAAGTGTTCCTTGCCCTCCTCTTTTTATGTTTGGTTTATCTTATGTATATATATTGAAAACCTTTTTAGACAATGCTGTGATTATTTTTTTCTTTAAACCATTACACATATTTGAAAGAACTCCAGAGGAGTCAACTAGTGCATTATGTTTATATTTGTCCATATGTTTATCATTTCCTTTCCTCTTCTTTAGTCTTGATGTTCCAAGTTTCCTTCTGGTATTATATTTCCTTTGTCTGGAGAACTTCCTGTAGCAATTCTTTCAGAATAGGTCTGTTGGTAATGAATTTTCTTAGTTTCTTAGTATTTCTAAAGGATGTTTTCATTGGACATAGATTTCTGGGTTAACACTTCTTTTATCTCAGAACTCAAATGAGAATCATTTGCTACCTCCTTTTGGCCTCCTTGGTTATCATTTGTTTGTTTAAATAAGAAATTCACAGTTACTTGAACTCTTGCTTTCTCATGAATATTATATCATTTGTCACTGGCTTTTTTTCAGAAAGTATTTTGTGTGTATTTGTTGTTTTTTATTATTTATTTTAAGTTTTCAACAGTTTGATTACAGCTGGATATGAGTTTCTTTGGGTTTACTTCCTTAGAGTTTGCTGAGCTTCTTGATTTTGTGGGTTTATGTCTTTGTCAAATATGGGGAATTTTCAGCCATTGTTTTCTCAAATATTTTTTCTTCAGTGAACACTATCTTTATTCTAATGAGTAACATGAATGTTATATCTTTTGGCATTGTTCTATAGGCTCCCGAATTTTTTTCTTATTTCTCTCCTCCCTTTTCTCCTTCTATTGTTTACATTAGGTGTTTTGGTATCTACTCAGTCAAGTTCACTGAGTTTCTTTGCTACCTCCATTCTACATTTGAACTCATTCAGTGAGTTCATTTTTAAAAAAATTTAGGTTATTGTTTTTACTGTTCTAAAATCTTCATTTGGTTCTTCTTTATATTTTCTATTTCTTTAACAACACTGTCTAAATTTTAATTTGTTTTAATTGTGTTTTTTCCCTTGCTTCTTGGAACATTTTTATAAAAGTTACTTAAAATCTTTACTCAATAACTCCCACAACTTTTTGTCATTTCAGTGTTAATGTCCATGACTGTCTTTTCCTGTATGAGTGTAGACTTTTCTGTTTATGTGCCGAGTAATTGTGATTGTGTCCTCGGTAAGTTGACTATTATGCGTTGAGACTCCAGGCCTTATTGAAATTCTATGGAAATTGTTTGTATTATCAGGAAATCAACCCAGCTGAAATCAGGCTGCACATTCCTACCATCCTTCTGTGGAGTTTGTTTCCAATATCAGTTCTGCTGTCAAACCTTCACAGTGACAGTTGGGTCTGTCCCACTCGAGCATCCCCGTGGCCAGCTGGGGCCCGTGGCAGTAGTTTAGCCCTTTTATTTTCACAGTCTGTGGTCCCTGTCTAGGTCCACATGTGTCTCAGGGGTGAGCGTGGAGTTTATAAAAGCACTAGATGGGAAAACTACAAGAGTTTTCCAAACTCTTCCCTCTTTAGGATCCTCAAAACATGTTTGGTTTCCCAAGATGCTACTTTTCTGTCTGAAAGCCAGAAAGCTGTGGCCTTTTCACCCTGCTCATGTGCTTCTGTGACTGGGCCTGCATTAGGAGCCAAGTGGCAAGAGGAAAAAGAGAAATCAGTGGGACTTGCCCACCTTCTCAGACCATAGAAGAAGATTCCCACAGAGCGTTGGGTGTCTCTCTGTATGTGGATGCCCAATGCTGAGCTCTAGGCTGCCTCAAATCCATGCCAGGTGATTCTGAGGAGGGGATGAGGGAAGAACTCACCTTGTCTAGTGGGTCTTTGCATTCTGGTCTCCTTCCTCAGTCCACCTGCTACTGTTGTCTCTTCACAGACCTCAGATAGCTGCTCCCTGCAGCCTGGACAGAATGTTTAGTCCCACTGAGTGGGAGAGACAGGCTGAGATTCCATCTTGCCCATAATTGGACCCTCACCACCCACTTCATTTATTTCATTATAGGAAAAAACACCTAAAATAAAATGTAGCATTTTAGCTAGCTCAAACTACACAGTTCCGGGGTTTTAAATACCTTCACAATATTGTGCAACCATTCCTATCTAGTTTGAAAACTTTTTCACCACCCTGTTTGCCTTCTCCTGAATCCCATGGCAACCACTTATCCCTATGGATTTGCCCTGCTTCACTTTTTAACAGTTTACGGAGATATAATTAGCATATTGTAAAGTCATCTGTTTTAAATGTATAATTCCCTGTGCATGTTGTATACTTACAGAATCGTACTCATTTAAAAAAATATTTTGGAATATTTACTTTCAGTCATGTTGTTTTTCTCTTACCTCTCTTCCTTCTCTTTATGATCTATTTCACTGTATTTTTAAAACAAAATAGGAATCATAACATCTGTGTACCTTTGTAGCTTCTTAAAAGCTAGATAGAGCTCTTTGAGTGTTTGTCAAAACCATGGTTCTCAATGCTGCATGTTATACCATCAAATCAGTGTGCTCTCATTTATTGTAAATGTTACCATTGTTGCACACTGTCATGCTTACAATGGTTTTCTTTCATAAGTAAAGCTGCAGTTAATTGGCATGTAAATAAACATTTGTGTGAATCTCTGCTTATGTTCTTAGGAGCTGTTCTTAGAGGTGATATTTCTGGGTTCCAGGGCACTATGGGCAAAGCACATAGATTTGGGGTTCTGGCATATCCTAAATGAAGATTCTTGTTTTTGTTTTTCTTTGAGGGAAAGTAAAAAAGAAACTTTCAATCCAAAATACATAAAATATACATCAGAAGTCAGTTTCCAAACCTTCTTATCCTTTAGTGAAAGTTTCAAAAGCTTGCAATATACTGTCAGATGCTGGGAGTCAGAGGTTGCTTCATTGGTTTAAAAAATTCCAGAAATGCACAGAATAAATTGTGAATGCATACCTGAATTTTATTTCAGCCTAGCTGTTAGAATTGAAGGTAGAATGACCCCATGCCCCAGTTTGCTTTGTCATTGCCACTTCACATGTGATGTCCCTGGCATCACCATTAACACCCCACCCACTCCTTTAGCTCGTGTAAGTTTTCCTGTTTGAACAATAAATTGTATGGTCACCCCAAAGAAGCACTTTTGATTTTCAGAAGCATGTTTTTGGTAGTACAAGGATAAGTGAAGCATGTCCTGTATATCACTAGTCTCTCCTTTTTGAGCTTATGGCGGATATCACTGATTGATCATGTGTCTGTGACATATGCATTAACCTCAGAATTCTCCCCATCACAGTCTTATGGGGACTTATTATCATCTGATTCGAAATGGACTATAAACTGTAATTCATTTGCCAAGGCATATAGGTGACACTACTGGCCCTTAACAGCAGAGAAGACACTGTGTGATGTCCAGTGACTATGCCCAGGGGGCCCTCAGGAAAGAATGCCTGCGCCTGTTGGATGGGGCAAGAAGGATTCCAGGCTAAGGGGGAGTTTTCGCCCTGAGCAGATTTCACCTCCTACACTCTCTCTGGGACCTCTTTTCTCTTCCCCCTTCAAGATTGGCTCATCCTAATTGAGTTTCTGGATCACACAATAGAAATGCCAAGGGAAGATTAGGAGTCCTAAAGAAAAAAATTATTTAGTTCTAATGAAAAAATTAAATAAGTAATTAATTAATTCTAGGTCTGCTTTAAGCTGAGTGATTAGAAGCAACTTTCTTCTTTCTTTCATGTTGTTTTGATGCAGAACATTCTGATTCCCCCCGTCTTTTCCTTTCCTTTGTAGGTTTCCAGACAACAGATGAATTGTGAAAGAGAGCAGCTAAGGGTAGGTGCATCTGCTTGTAAAATACTTCCTGTTTTTTGTTTCTGTGTGATAAGCAAAAATTTCCTTGTCTCCCCCAAGACACAAGGTTCTAAATAGTGGGCTTCATCTTAAGACTGGTAGAATTGAAAATATTTATCCCAGCTAATTTAGTATTGATTGAGCTGGTAAATACAGTATATCTTCTTTTGAAGTGCCATTATAGTAGATATGGATTTTTTGATTTAGATTCAGCAATAAATACTTCTCTTCTGGAATTTGTTTGACATCATTGTACTCTTTTTATGTACAACATGAGGTCTAAGTAATAACAAAGGTCAAAAGGATGTCTTGCTGCCTTCTTAATGTGAATATCAGGCTGTTTGCTGAGTGGCTAAAATGCTCTCTTGCTGTTAACTGGGGAGGGTGAGCCACCAATATGTCAAGGAGAATGCAAGTCCTCTCTAGACCTTTCTGTTTTGTGGTGTTTGTGTATATAAGAGAAGGAGACAGATTTTTAAAACTTGTATATGATTTACCTTCTAAAAAATGAATCTCTCTCAATGTTCAATTATGCTAGATGCAAAATGCATTCCCTAGAGGAGGAGAGAATGGTTCACTTACAAATGGAGGTTGGTGACATTGTTCTGTTTTCATGGTGTCATGGTTGATATCTTTCTTGCTATGGGAATGGTATTTTAAGAAATATCAGGATGACCTCCTCCTCTCCATTTGTGTGTGTGTGTGTGTGTGTGTGTGCATTTTAAAATGTGCTCATGTTTTGGATGGATGAGTTTGAAGGCATAACTGGGCTATCTTTAATGTCACTGATGAAAGTTGGCAATTTTTACTGGACAATGTGCCTTATAGCCATGTTTCCACATTATTATAAAAACTAGAGGAATCTGCTGCTTTTAAAATGATAGTGTGTTTTGGGTTTGGGTCACCATTGTGCTCAAAGGAATCTAATAAATAAGAAAAATTATTAAATAATTCATAATTCTAATGTCACTTATGTACTGCTTGGTAACTTTTCAAAGTATTCACTTAATGCCAATCTTGAGATGACAATGATTTGTAAAGTTATTGTAATTTCACAGTTGTTACTGGCATCAGGTTTGTTAAATCCTTATATATAACAAACAACAGAATCTAGTTCCACGGAATGGAGAAAGTGACTTGATGCTTTTTCTTCTTTTATGTGTATTTATTTTATGCAGTCACCCACCATGGTCTTCTCTATTAACCTCTCATCTCTGCCCACTTCACTGCTAAGTCCCTGTGCCTACATTAGTTGTGACTCCTTCATGAAACAGCCTTCACAATGTTTTAAGCTTTCCTGCACTTTCTTATTGCTTTTTCCCTGCTGTCTGAATTACTGGTTCATCCTAGTAAATAATGTATTGTAACTTCAGATTTCTCTTCCTGTTTGGATGGGAACGATGGCCAGAACTAGGTCAGAGCTAGATAAAGAGGAATGTGTGCTTTTGTCTCCAGGAGTCCCTGATAAATTCATCAGAATTAGGATAAAATTGAAATCTCTATTGCAAATGAGACTTGCCTGGAAAATTAAGGACACAGGAAGTAACGAAGTGCTTGTGTGCAATTTGAGGGGTTTACTATTTTGCACCGATGAGGCCATTGTCAACAGGGGTGTGGTTTAGGAACAAGAATGGCGCCCCTCCCACTACAGGAAACAAATTCCAGTGGTGGTTTCATATAACAGGTCATATAGTTTAGCCCACAGGACAATTCCATTAGCCCCATATGAGACTATCTCTAAAAGCATGAACTGGTATTTAATTTGTTGTTGCTGTTATAGTCTTTTTTAAAATATTTAAACTAATTTATGTTTTGAATTGATAGATAAAACACTTAAATCAATGGAATACAGATGTATGTGGTTGAAAATTTAAATGATATCAAGGGAATGCAGTAAGGGTTTCCCTTTCCATTCATTCAGACTTTAGGCTTCCAGGTCCCTTCTGGGAGACACCAATGTCATAATGTGCTGTGTCTCCTTTGACACTATGTCACATCCACGGATATTTTCTTTGTCCCCTCCTTCCCTGTCCTCTGTCTCTCTTTCTCTTTGATCTCTTTCCCTTGTACCTCCCTCCTTTTCTTCCTATCTTGTGTGTATACTCAGCCCCTCCTCTCACTGGAAAAAAAAACTCTCTCGATTAAGGTGATTTTTTTAAAGGAGCCATTTGGGGGGCAAATTGAAAGAAATGTGGTTCTGATCTGAAATGCTAATGCCTAGCCAACTCAGTGAAATGCATTCTTATTAATCTCATTATATTTTTCTTAGAAAGAGAGACATTAGAAGAAAAATAGGTATCTGTTTAGTTACCAACATCAATGAAGGGTATCTTCTTGCCAGTCACACTTCTTGAAATATGTTTTAAATACTGCAATCAAACTGTATTTCTTAATGCTGTGCAAGATGATTGGACCATGTCTATGTTGCCTAGCTTATATTCCTTTATTAGTACCTTCAATTAGGTTGTCAGAATTCAGGGGTATAAGTGGGTAGTTGTAAAATGGATCCCTTTTTCTTGGCCTTCTGCAAACAGAATATAATGAAGAACGATACAAGTGCCCCTGCATGTGACACTGCATTGGGGTTGGCGCATCCAAGACTTGCTCCTCCTGCTCTCCTTTCTTTAATTTTTCCAAAATGAACTGTGAGGTATTTGTTAATTATAAAGTCTAAAAAAAGATTTTCTGACGAATTAATTTTTAGGAAATGCAAAATTAAAGAAAGTCAAACTTTTCTTTTTTTAACTGCAGGACTTCTCAGAGCATTTAATGTGCAAAAATGAAATACAAAGAAATGGATATAATGCACAATTTTCTGCAAACTCACCTGGTCACAAAACATTTTTGGATGCAGAACACATTCTGAGAAACAGTCTTAAAACTTTTATCAGTTTTTTTTTTCTTTTTCAGTTGGAATGGTTTGGTCTGCAAGTTATAAAAAAGCTAAACATTATTTAAAAGGTAAAAACATTTTATCACCTCCTAGTTCCAAGTTGATTTAGTGAAGTGTTGGTAGCAGAACAATGGTTTGGAATCTGTGTGCTTCTCACGGCTTTCTTTTCCTTCTTTCAAGGTGAATCAGCATCACTTGCTTACATGACAACACTCATTATGAAGGAGGGGAGGAGGAGGTTTTCTTCTTGGTATTGTTGGAGGAAAATCATTTCCAGAAGCCTTTCCTGCAAATGTTCTCTTAGAGCTCGTTGGCCAAACCCTATGCCAGTCACTTCAACTGAGCTGTATCTCAGTGGTTGGCTATAACAGTCATAATTCATCCCCAGGGATAGGCACATTGTCACATGAACAAAAACAGGATTTGTTTAAACAAGAGGAAGGGGTCAGAGTTACCCAATAGAACAGGGGTGTCAAACTCATTTTCACTGGGGGCCACATCAACCTTGCCATTGCTTTCAAAGGGCCAAATGTAATTTTAGGATTGTATAAATGTAACTACTCCTTAACTAGGGGCAAGGAGCTCTATATTTGGCCCTTTGAAGGCAACCACAAGGCTAATGTATCCCCCAGTGAAAATGAGTTTGACACCCCTGCAATAGAACAACAGAATGAACTAATGTGAACCTTCTATGTCATTCATGATGTTGATTTCCTGCCAACTCCTTTACTTCATCCCTTCATCCCACATGCATGACTGTGGGGACCACATATAAAGCTTAACCCAGTGCCTGAATTCTGGCTGTGAATTGGCAATAGATATTCTCTCTGCCAATTTAATATCTCACAGATCACATCTACCAATCCTGACTCTTTATGCAGGTTGGCATTCTCTCTGTATCTTTCCTTATGTTCTTTGGAGTCATCTTGGATGCAGTCCTTTGCCACTTTCCCCTCAGCATCAAGTGTGGACAGCAGATATGGCACACCTCACTGCAAAACCCAGCTCAGCTTCAGAGAGCTGTCCAGGTGCCACCTAGTGCCTACCCTTTCCAAGAGAAGGGCATCAGCCAGTTACTCCTAATAATCATTCACTCTTCTCAGAAGGCAATTGGGATTGCTCATGTTCTCAATGAGAAAACTATGAAACAAAATTTTCTCTATCTGGAGTAGATTGCACATTCTTCTGGGCTCACGTTTGAAATTATAACTGGATTCCATTGTCAAGATGGTCTATATTGCTCACCATGAAGTCTGTGCATTAGGTACAGACTTCTGACTCTGTAGGCTGTATTTATCAGTTTGTCCCAAGGGCACTGTTGACAGGCGGGGGCAGCGCTAGTTGTACAGTTGTCATAACCTGACCATCAACATTGACCTCTCTGGCATCTGGAACTGACAAATGGACAAATAAACAAGTAAGAGAGAAATTGTATAACCTCACTAGCCCTTGTCTCCCTCGGCAATCTACCAATTGGAAAGATTGTGTGCTTATAGGGTAGGGGATCAAATTACTACTATTATTAACATTCCTATAAAATATTTTATTACAAAGGGGTCTTTTGTGCTGTGAATATCAGATGTTGGTTTGGGGGCTCTTTAGAAGTTCTGGTCAGAATATTGTTACTACTAAGTAGGCAAAGGCTTGGTTCTCATGTATGTTATAATTGGTTCATGGACCAAAATCTTCATCAACAGTAGGCAAATGGATCCCATAGAAGCCAGCATAGTATGAGGGGCAGGCACTTAGAGGTGGTCAGGAGCTGTGGTTACAGACTTAGGTTCATGACTTAGTTCTAAATGCTACCTAGTTTCTCAAAGCTTCAGTTTCCCAATATTAAAAATGAGGATATATTTCTCATAGATTTGTTGATTGGATGAAATGACTTACATAAATCACTTCTAAAAAGTATATGCTCATAATCATCAATGTTAGCTGTTGTTAACATGGCATTATTGTCAATGGTACTCATTCCTCTTCTTACTAGGAATGCCAAGCCACAGAATACAGATGCGTAGGACATAGGCTCTCACTCAGTTTTCCACGCTCAAAAACAATTTCAAAAGCAGATTTTATCATTGATGGTAGT